TAAGTCATATTTTCGAAAATTTTGACTTATGTTTCGAAATATAGTCTGTACATGCGAAAATGTTAAAAAGACAAGTGAAGTAAATTATAAAGTTATTATAAATTAACTTAACTCTAAATTATCTTAATAATAAATTTGGTCAGTAAAAAAAAACAATACACATGTTAATAAACAACAGCGCTCCCTGTTTTTCACAATGAGAAGAATGTGACTTATCCCACTATGATTCTAACTCACTCAATTATAATAGTAATACCATATTTTTACGATGGAACCTTATTGTTGTTGTTTATAATATGAATTTTAGATCGAAAATTGTTATGGCCTACAGACGATTAATAAATCTTACCCTGTCGAATATTACAAACGTATATGTACAATAAATACAGTTCAGTATTTTGATCGCATCAGTGCAAATCTGAAAAATGTACATTGATGAAAAATTTCGTCGTGCACAGTAAGTATGTACTGTATTTCGTTAATTTCGTAAATTTCATCGTATACATATAATATATGTATAAGTTGCGGTTGAATTTCTAGCGCACCTCTCGTGCAGTAAGTACCAAAACCTGCCGTAGTGAAACGATTAAGAAATTAGAATTAAATCACGTTTTAAAAATGTACTAATCTAGTCTCTGTTTTCTGTTCAACAAGAAGAAATTAATTACAATGACATTGTACAGTAAAATTTTACTTTCTTCGGATTTGTACCTTTGTGTAGGCCTTTTTGATAGATTCTTCAAAGTACTTTTTGAGAGATCAGTTTTTCATTAAAAAAACTTTAATTTAACATTATATAATGAGTATGAGAACACGTTTGACACTTGGACGACGGGGCTCGGGTCTATTTGGACCTAGAATATGAACGTTGTTATTCTGACGTTTTATTTAGATTTTCACATGTTTGATCAACATCTACAGAAAAGCTAACGTGTCGTAAAGAACAACCTTAAAAAATATCTTGGGGAAAACTGGTAGATAAAATCATAAATTACTCTAAGTAAACTTAGTTATATTTTTGTCAGACCTTCTATTTTTGTCGGCCGTTCGAGACTTCAACAATGATTAAAATAAGAGGATGATGAAATACACTTGATTTTGGAATTATTTTCCAATTTATCGGTTTATGGATATCGTTGTTAGAAGTTACAAATCGTGTTTCGCTTACATAACACAAACTAAATAATTTTACACGGCAGGTTAAGGCAACAGTGGTACTCAATGTTAACTTTGTCACCTTTCAGGTTCATTGTCAGCGTAATACTTTCCGTTGAATGCATGTAACGATGACAGCGTTGTTTAATATAATTAATATTATTAATTAATATTATTAAGAATATATAAAAAATTTATAATATTATATCTCTTTTGGTAAACTATCTAATTATTTAATAGTAAAATAACAGATTATGAAGTAATATTTTNTTTTAGTATTACAGTGGTGTAAGTCATATTTTCGAAAATTTTGACTTATGTTTCGAAATATAGTCTGTACATGCGAAAATGTTAAAAAGACAAGTGAAGTAAATTATAAAGTTATTATAAATTAACTTAACTCTAAATTATCTTAATAATAAATTTGGTCAGTAAAAAAAAACAATACACATGTTAATAAACAACAGCGCTCCCTGTTTTTCACAATGAGAAGAATGTGACTTATCCCACTATGATTCTAACTCACTCAATTATAATAGTAATACCATATTTTTACGATGGAACCTTATTGTTGTTGTTTATAATATGAATTTTAGATCGAAAATTGTTATGGCCTACAGACGATTAATAAATCTTACCCTGTCGAATATTACAAACGTATATGTACAATAAATACAGTTCAGTATTTTGATCGCATCAGTGCAAATCTGAAAAATGTACATTGATGAAAAATTTCGTCGTGCACAGTAAGTATGTACTGTATTTCGTTAATTTCGTAAATTTCATCGTATACATATAATATATGTATAAGTTGCGGTTGAATTTCTAGCGCACCTCTCGTGCAGTAAGTACCAAAACCTGCCGTAGTGAAACGATTAAGAAATTAGAATTAAATCACGTTTTAAAAATGTACTAATCTAGTCTCTGTTTTCTGTTCAACAAGAAGAAATTAATTACAATGACATTGTACAGTAAAATTTTACTTTCTTCGGATTTGTACCTTTGTGTAGGCCTTTTTGATAGATTCTTCAAAGTACTTTTTGAGAGATCAGTTTTTCATTAAAAAAACTTTAATTTAACATTATATAATGAGTATGAGAACACGTTTGACACTTGGACGACGGGGCTCGGGTCTATTTGGACCTAGAATATGAACGTTGTTATTCTGACGTTTTATTTAGATTTTCACATGTTTGATCAACATCTACAGAAAAGCTAACGTGTCGTAAAGAACAACCTTAAAAAATATCTTGGGGAAAACTGGTAGATAAAATCATAAATTACTCTAAGTAAACTTAGTTATATTTTTGTCAGACCTTCTATTTTTGTCGGCCGTTCGAGACTTCAACAATGATTAAAATAAGAGGATGATGAAATACACTTGATTTTGGAATTATTTTCCAATTTATCGGTTTATGGATATCGTTGTTAGAAGTTACAAATCGTGTTTCGCTTACATAACACAAACTAAATAATTTTACACGGCAGGTTAAGGCAACAGTGGTACTCAATGTTAACTTTGTCACCTTTCAGGTTCATTGTCAGCGTAATACTTTCCGTTGAATGCATGTAACGATGACAGCGTTGTTTAATATAATTAATATTATTAATTAATATTATTAAGAATATATAAAAAATTTATAATATTATATCTCTTTTGGTAAACTATCTAATTATTTAATAGTAAAATAACAGATTATGAAGTAATATTTTTTAATGTAAAATGGTATTTCTTTAACATTGACCATCGAAATCCATTCGTCATTAAAGCTTGTCGTATTTTCTAGATGTCTTTATCTCAACCATTGTTTACACAGTTTTCCACAGTCATGACTTAATATTAAATTGTATCACGTCGTTCAGATAAGAATAGTATTCACGTCCTCAAAATACTAGTACGTAAGTAATCCAAGTAAGTTATTCCAAAGTTGAAATTTGCGTGTTATACTCAAAGTTACAAATAAAGATACGCGTCGAATAGTGTAACTTTGAAAAAAGTGACAATCTTTGAAGAAAAAAGTTTTTAAATTACTTCAGAAAACAGGTGTATCCCACAGTAAGAAAAGTATTTTAAATTGACAATAAGCTCTCAAGTTATTTCTAATATAGCATTTAGTTTGATCCTAAAAATACTAATCCCTTCCTGTTTTTAATATACATATACTTATTTGTAAAACGTGAATAAAGTTATAAATAACATAAAACCACATTATTTTTCCATCTAAGACGCAAACGATTATGGTGTTTGAATAACAATACAATATTTAGAAATTTTTAAGAACAAAACACATCAATTCCAGACTTCGTAGCTCCGTTTCCCAAATTTTGAGAACAGAAAAATGAATTGTATGTAAAGATTTTATAAGGTACACTAAAATACCTTGCCAAAACTAAGGAAATTATTAATATGGAAGTGAAGAACATGCATGCATAAAATTGGTTTCGTGTATATCAAACATGTTGTACAAAGTCCGACTAAACATGATGTGCGAGGTGTAGGTACTGTGGTGTAGGTAATGCTAATTCCGGTGGCACGCCGAATTTGAAGGTTAATAACTCGATAACTGGTTATGCAAAATGATGTGCAGGCAGTGTTTTGAAATAATTCCAGGACAGATATAAGAATACGTAATAAAAAATGTAAAGTTCCATTTAAAAATTTGAATGTGGCGTTCCCAGGGTCCTCCAAGGTCATCTCAGAGTCGAACAATTATCATCGCGATGTACATACTTCCTTTAGTATCATACGACGACGACGTTCGTCTAAAACATTTTTTACATTTTTAGTTTGACAAACATTATATTCTTGAAAGAAAACACAATAAGAAAAACCAACAAAACTGTTCGTGCTTTATTGAATTTACGAAAATTTGAATATCGTAGATATTCAGATTTAAAGAATACGTTGCAACAGCCAGTATTCGTTCATTCAATACTGTGTCGTCTATATGGTTCGTAATCATTCTATAGACTATTCAAGATAACATACTACGTCAATGAATGCATACATTAACAATTAATAATCAGACTGCCCGAGAAAGTATTATTCGTTTAATCGATATTGCTTACTTTACATAGAATCAATGAAGAATATGTATGTATATATGTATTTATTAATTGTACTCAATGCATAAAATCGTTTCTTGCAAAGGATATTTATGCATACTACAAAACCTGTTGTGAAAACGTCCGAGTAAAGTACATCTCTGACATAGTAAATAAAAAAACTAAACGAATCCAATTTTAATAGTCGATAATTAAACTTAGAGAACAAAATATCGTTCCACTTTATCTACAAATGTTTGCGTACCGCTGAAAGACGTTATACAAAATGATATCCAAACGCAGCAACTATAAATGAAAATTATTGACACGTAGTAGAAAGTTATTTTTCCGTTAGGTAATTCTCAAAATTAAAAATAAAGTAAAAACTATGCCATGCATTATTATTATTATTACAAAAACATGATTCCACTTTTATCAATAATGCTTATTATATAAATAATCTTATATAAATAGAATCCAACTTAGCCGTACGTGTTTAAGATTCTGTTTAATTGAAATCTATCTTTAGATACGTGTATGTGAGTGAACATTGTCAACAATTTTCGTGTTTCTTGCTTTTATTAAAATCATTCATCGAAGTACATACATATGTATACTCATACATAGATGTGAGCAATACATATATATGGATATGAACAAGTGAAAAGAGAAATGATTCAGTATTGTCGATGCAATTGACGAAGATAGAGGTGAAAACACGTTGTGTTGCTTCTTGTTCCTTTGCTTAACAATAAGGCTAGCACGTTTGCGATCTCGCGTATCAAAGAGCTCGCAGCTCGAATTGCTCGTAACGGCGCGGCACGGCGCAACGGCAGCCGTGTCGCTGCGAGCTGTCAGAATCGGTCGGTCTAACAGAGAGGCTCGGAGCAGAGGAGAACAGAGCATAACGGAGCATAGCAGAGCAGAGCGGAGCGTATAACCTATATCCTCGGCGCGGCGCTGTTACGTTCTCCGTGCCTCCTCCCTGGCGGGTGGCGGCCGCACCTCCTCTTTCTCGACGATTTTAATCTCGTTAGCGGACACGTGCGCGCCCCCGCGCCTACAGGCCGCTATACGACGACCTACCGTGTTGGGGCTTCGCCAATCTGGTTTGGTCTAACAGGATTCTCGAGCGACCGAGGGTTGATAAAAGGCTGCGTACCGTGCGGGCGCGGCGCGAGTCGCAGGAGGAGTTACTCCGTTCGAGGTGTGGGCGCTCGTGCAGCAGCAGCAATAACAGCAGACGACCTCGTCATCGTCTTCTATCCTCTCGTTCCCGGTTCGTTCGTTCGTTCTTTCTACGTAGCCGTCCTCAGGCTCTGTCGATTCACCATACGTTGCGTACACGTTGCGCGTGTGCGCGCATATATTCAGTGTGAGAATCGTATCTTGTCTCGCGTGTGCGATACAAGAAAGAATAGGATAGATCGAGCGGCCGAGCAGGCGAGCAGGCGAGCAAGCGAGCGAGCGAGCGGCAGGCACGGAGCAGGAGAGACAAGGATCGGCAGTGCGAATCGAAGGAAAAAAGAGAGAGGCAGCGAGAGCAAGAGCGGAAGCGAGACAACCAGCGGAGAGACCAAGGAGGGGGCAAGAGAGATACCGTGCGAGACTAGGACAAGCGGAGAGACAGCCAGCGATAGAGTGAACGAGAGAGTGTGTGACGGGGAGACGAGGGGGAAAGGGGACAAGGGAGAAAAGGAGAGAGAAGGAAAGAGATAGAGCGCCGGGTGGTTACCACACCCAACCGCGCCGGGGACCGAGTAAACGAGTGAACGAGCCGTCCGAGAGCTCTCTCGCGAGTGGTACGCGGGTACAGCGAGGGACCTAGGGACCGACGATCGAGATTCGACGGAGTACGCTCGGGACTCTTTAGATCTCGATCTAACGGACCTCGCACTCGCGAAGTTTCTCTCTGACCGAACAGACGATCGCCGAAATCGCGCGGCGCTAGCAAACAAGGCTGGAGGAGACGTGTGTGCGCGTGTCTCTACCGCTTTCTCGACTTGTCTCGCGAGTGTGTTTTTTCATGTTACGTTGTAGTACGCGCGTGTGTGAATCCCGTGGCTCGTGGAAAGGAACAAAGGATACGGATAGCAAGTAGAAATTCGCCCGAAGAATCGGCCAGAAGGGAAGAGCGTAGACGAGAAGAGAAGAGAAGAGAAGAGAAGAGCAGGAAAGAGAACAGAACAGAGCAAAACGGAACAGAACAGCACAGAAGAGACGAAACGAGACGAGAGCAGACAAGCCACCGGCCGAGGTTCGTGGTTGTGCGTACATGTGTTGATGTGTCGCTGGCGTCGTCGAGCCCTGCCAGGAGTGCTCCGTCGCCGCGTGTACCGACGTCGTTGAGAATACGGGGATCACATCCACGTTTACGTCGCCGTCGCCGTCGTCGTCGTCGTAGCCCTAGCTATCGTCGTCGTCGTCGTCGTCGCCGTCGTCGTCGTCGTGGACAAGTGGTTGTGAAGCGTGCTAGTGACTGTAGTGCTAGTGCAGTAAGTCGGAAAGAGTTTCGTTTGCGTTTGCGTTTGTCTTTGCCTTTGCGTTTGCGTTTGCGTTTGCCTTTGCCAGGACGAGAGGGAAGGAAGAAGAGAAACCACGAGGGCGGCGACGAGACATCGTCGCTTGTTCGCGGTGGCAAGGTAATACCGACACCGAGGATACCGTGCCCATCGAGCCCGCTGTTGTGTACGACAAACCTCGTCGCTCAGCAATCACTCGCCACCACCGTAAATCGCTCGTTCCCTCTCTCCCTTCCTCCCTCCCTCTCCCTTCTCCTTTTCCTCCTCCTCCTCCTCCACCTCCACCTCTTCCTCTTCCTTCTCATTTTTCTTCTCTGTTCCTCCTCCATCCGAGGATCCTGCCGTCCTGAGCCATGGCGTGCTGCCTGTCGGAAGAGGCAAAGGAGCAGAAACGTATCAATCAAGAGATTGAGCGGCAACTACGAAAGGATAAGCGCGATGCCAGGCGGGAACTCAAGTTGCTATTATTGGGTAAGTCGTATCTTAATCGGTAACCTATACGTAACGTTTCTTAGAACGTGATATCATTTTTTCCGATAACTACACTCTAATACGCCAGCGTATCGCGGAACGCTATCTGTCTCGGTCTCGGTGCCGGTATCTCTATCGGTATCGGTATCGGTATCGTCCGGCTTGGTCCCAGTCCCGGCCCCTATCAAAACATCGGGTGTGCCGCCGTCGCCGTCGCGGCCGCCACCGATTTCTTTCCATTGTAGCTCTATGATCAGTTTTCCGCTAATGCCATGTTACATAGTTTCATTCACGCAGCTTGCGAATCTCGTGCCTCTCGGTGAGATCGCCGTTCGTGTTCTATATCTAAGACTGATCGGAGAGTGCGGTTGCCTCAATCTATATAGCTGGCGTGCGCTTGACAGCTCTCGACCATACTGTTACACGATACTAGAACTTCCTACCGGCCCCTATACACGTCGCTGCGTTTATCGAAACCTCGCAGTTTTTCGTCTCTCTTCAACTCGAATGACCACAGTCTTATTGTTAGTGTTCACCGTGTGGAAGAAAGTCATGCGCGGCTTTCGAAACTGCCGACTCCCCTACAGGTTATTTCGCGTAGATTACACATTCAGCGAATTTTCAAAAATTTTCTATATCTGATGTGTCTCCCGCAACTAATCTCTGAATCTGTATGCAATCATTTATATTTATATTTATCTCAATTTTGAATAGCTACACGATCATGCATAGAATGTGTGTACCTATATGTATGTTTATGTATAGTATAATACGTGAATATCCTATTGCGTTTTACATATGTTTTCAGTGTGTAATTGGATAGGTTGTAATTACGTAAACAGCCGCAATTTAGTTAGAAGCAAATGTTTATTTTACCGACATATTCTTTGTCGATAATAACCAGTGAATGGACAAACTATGTATTTAACACGCAATCAAATTTGAATTTCTTTCAAGTCTTGAGTATAATGTAGTTCGCCCGTTGTCATATATTTCAATAGTCGGGCGTGCGATACTTTTAAAATTGCTTAAAATTAAATTTAACATGTAGAATATTGAGAAACGATGAAAGTTTAATTGGTTCCTAGAACATCTAGCGTGCGTTGCGATCTGATTACCTTTTCATACTGTATCTGCTCCAATTTAAACTTATTAACGAGTACATTAGTTATATATACTTTAACGAGTACATCGGTTGCTTTGACGAATACATTAGTATTTACGAGTACATACGTTAAAGCAACCGCAAGGAATTGCATTAAAATAGTTTTTAATCTTTGCTTCTTCGTCGTAAACGATCCTTAGATGTACATATTCGGCCATTACACATTAAGTCGAACAATCTAAAAGTAACGTTTAATGATAAACAGTTTCGGTTTTAATTACGATGATATTGTCATTTGCAAATATTATATTTGTCATCTCTTTATTTATAATAATTATAATGGAGTAAGTACTCCGTGATTTGTGTTAGCGATGATTAATTTCTTAATCGAAGCTAGATGAACATCAAAGGATCGTATTGTGCTCGAAGGCGTTTATCAATTGCGATAATATAACCACAGACGTGTACTAATTTTTTTTGCTACGTGCGATCGTGCTACTTTGCATCGTGTTTTTCATTTTGCTTTTTTTTCGTTGCAAGCAGATGTTACACGTTACTCCTTCTCGGTTTTACAAATTATGCAAGTATGATCGCCAGTGGGTTATGTCGCAAGATTTTTATTAGCTGTTCGATTTAACACGAACAATTAGAATTCTTTATCATGTTTTTGCAAGCTTTTCGTTGGAATGGTATAGTAATTTAACGAGAGTAACACAATATATTTTCGTCGTCTAACTACCTACAATGATTAAATCTGTTTTCAACGTTCTAAACGGCGTTGCTATTGTATGCGTATCTGTCTCACGATTATGCATAGATTTCTTGGGCTCGACGGCGTGTAAAAATGCGAGGTGAGCGTTTTTAGAAAACTGTTAAGATATTAAAAGCCGCTTTATTATTATCGTTCACCGTTACTTTGTGGACCGCCGATTGAATGGATCGATTTTCCCATAGGAGAAATTATCGCGGTACGATTTTATAACGTCTAATATCGTCTCACTTGACATTATGGTAATTTTGCAAAGTTATATTGGATGAAAAAAATATGTACACATACGGATACACATACACATACCATATAACGTATAAAATATGTATAACAAATCATTTTTTCTAAATTGAAACTCGCTTCGGAGCTATGTGTCATCGTTAATCTATATCAGTAAGTAAATGATTTACGATCGGGAGAATCTGTTCTAAAATTAGTACAGTTAGCGTGAGGCTCACATTGATCTTACGTGTACTCACTTTTATATCTTGTCCATCTACCTACGTGCTTTGGATATTCATTACGATAATATAGTAACTTTAGCTTGAGAACGAAATTTGCAGATCTAGTTTGTGGTTTCTAAATCGTGTGACTATGTGAAATTCTTTACATTTATGAAATTTACTGTTTGTCGAAATAAACAATGAAATTCTTATGAATCTATCAAGCCGTTTTTTACGAAATGATTTTGAAACTACTTGTGGCGTAATATTTTCTATTAAACAACTACTTGAAGTTGTGAAAAAGCAACCAATACAACGAATACTCCAAAAACGCGTTTGCTTTCTTTCTTGATTTGACTCTAGTATGACGACTTTATTGGCTTTAATTTGATAGTAAAACGATGAAAAAGATTCCGTAACGACTGAATTTTGCTTCTGATAAATTTGAAGCGAGCCGAGTATTAATATCTGTTCACACGATAGACAATGTTCGACGGGAAAAAAATTTCAATTGGAGTACCCCATTTAAAGTGGTTTTCGCCCACTGTAAGCTTTGTGCGGTTCACAAAAATATCCGACGAAAATGTGTTAAGATAAACCATGACTCATCTGTGACTCGTGCTAGGTGGAATTTATATGGGATCATTTTCAAACAATGGTTTTAAATATTTGGTAAATTAGGTAATAATATAGGCACGTTTTTGATTCTCACATTATATCAAAAATATGTATTCTCTACATGTTGTATTCGCACATATAATTTATATTCTCAATTAAATATATTTAATTATATCTTGTGTATTTTACAATTATTAGATTTTTAAGGAAAGAGCACCACATTTTTCTTTTATCGTACAGCTTTCGATAGCTTAAAGTTTAAAACTTGTCAAAATTAATCCAAAGGCGACCATCGATCGATTACTTTTAATTATAATCTATATTTAAAATATAATGAAAAGTAACACAATCTTTTTTAATAAAATAACGTTTGGAGTAAATCAATTAATTGTAGCAGCTTTACATGATGAATTTTCAACTTTGGAAATTGTTGGTAAATTTGATTTTGATGTTAACCGCGTTTTGCACAATGTAAAAATAGTTTTCGTAAAATACCTGTGTTACTAAAATTTCGCTATAATTTAATTGTACACCGATATATGTACATATGTAGAGATATCCTAATCCCATAACCTTATTGCAGCAATTTTTTTATGATCAAATAATAGTTAAAAACGCATGGTATGGATAAGGGTTACAAAATGGTAACAGTTAATAGTAACCTCTCTAAAAAATCATTGATTTAGGCAAGTTTTGATAGCAAGTTCAAATAGTCATTATAATGTCAATTAAATCGCTATGCTACATAAATAAATATTATGAAAGGGTTTCAGTGCTTCAACGGTATCACTATTTACCAGAAAATAACAGTTATTAAAAAACGTTTTGTGAAAAATTCAGTAACGAAATCGTGTTTATTATTCAAGTTGAAGCTAGTAATTGCGAAATGTAAAAAAATTGTTCCGAAATCCATATGATTAAAAGATTTCGTTTTTTGGTTATAAATAACAATTACAATAAACCGAAAATTTGTTTCGTTGTCAATAATCGGAATTGATGACGGAAATTCTATTTCGGACACTTTAAATAATTTTCGATGATGGAAATTTATTCCAGTTATATAACGGTTATCAGTGAATGTAATTTTGTTTTGATCTATTTTTGGAAAATTTATTTTAATTATTGACAAAAGTTGTCAGTAAAAGAAATTGTATTGTTTATTACGCTATCAAATTGTTTTGTATTCGACTAAAATGATTTCCAGTATTTACGCCAAAGCAGTGCTTTGTTCCTCGAATTGTAAGAATTGAGAAAACGAGGATAAACACAACAATGTTATGCTAAGATATATGTATAAAATTTAAATTACTGTAAATTTTTAGTAGAAATTTAAATTGTAATTAATTTTAAATAGGGATAAAATTAATTATAATAGATTTTTAATATAAAATTTAATGTATACGCTACTGGATAATAAGTTAGGGTTGTGGTATTTATACAATTCACAATGATACACATTGTTCTCCGTAATACTGAACTTCAGTGATGTAGTGAAAACTTTAATAATTAAGGTATATAGGACATTTGATCATTAGACATTTTTAATCATTAGACGTCATTTTTGACGTCTCTCTTTGTTGCATAGATTTACTCTCCAATAGTGTCAGGCAGAATACAAAAAACCACGTGATCGGTGGTGATGGCGGTGGGGTACCGTTGCGACTTAACTTGAGAAGGGGTTTAGTTCGCAACGCAACCAACGGGAGGGGGGACCGATGCGCGTGCAGCCGTTATACGAATGCGAAGCTCCGTGCGTGCGTCGGTTTCCCCTCCTGTTGGTTGCGTTGCTAAGCAAACCCTTTTCTAAGCCAACTCGCAATGCTCCCCTACCGCCGCTGCCGCTGCCACCAGTCCCGTGTTTTTTTTGTATTCTCCCTGACACCACTGCTCTGAAGTATTGATACGCATTTATGAACCACCGCGTATAATATGTGATTGAAATACAATTTCTCTCACCTATAACTATTACGGACGATTTAAATAGAATTTCCGTTACCAATAACTCTATAAACAACCCAAATCAATTTTCTCATAGATAACTGTTATAAGCAACTGGAATAGTATT